TGCCTAACTAGGGGCCTCTTTGTAAATTACTAAAGTTTAACTTAACGAAATAGAACTAAGGGAGTAAGAGAGGAGGTTATGTTTGAAAATCTCTCTCTCTGAACCCTAGTTGCCACCACCTTCTTCTTCTTCTTCTCTCTTCTTGAAACCTAATTTCTACTACTTTCCTTTGATTTTCTGCAACTTCTTAAACAGTTCTTTCTATTCAAAAGGTTGTTTTTCTTCTGTCTGAATTACCTTGAATGATCTAGGAGAATAAAACTCTACATCACTGCTAGGGGAAAAATAGGATACATCAATGGAAAAATGAAGGAACAGAAGAATAGAAGTGCTGAATATGATAGTATGGTGATGTCACATGGCTCTTGGTTTCCATGCTACCACAGGTAAGAAAGACATTTATGTGGGCTAAAATTACTTGTGAAATATGGGAACAAGCAAAGTCCACCTATTCAGAGCAGAGACACTATGCCAAGATATACCAAGTGCAAGTTGAATCATCCACTTGCAAGCAGGGGGAAAGGAGTCTCTCGATGTACTATTCAAATCTGACATCAATATGGAAAGAACTTGATCACTATTAGAATGTAAATTGGAAATGTGATGAAGATGCAAAGGCATACAAGTCACTTGTATCTCAGCAGCGGGTATTTGCCTTCCTCTTGGGGCTGAATCCTTCATACGAGTCCATCAGGGTGCAGATCTTGGGAAGTAAAGACTTGCCATTAGTTCAGGAGGTTTATACCTTAGTTCAGTCAAAAAAGAGTAGAAGAAATGTGATGAATCGTACAGAGGGGGAGCCAGTCACCCTAGCTGTCCGAGGAAGTTCAGATACTAATGTTGGAGGTGGTTTTAAGAAGGGTGACTCTCAGAAGAGAACAGATGATAAGAGTAAACTTTGGTGCACTCACTACCAGAAGACAAGACACACCAAAGATACATGTTGGGATCTCCATGGAAAACTTAAATGGGCACAGGATTTGGGCAAGAAGTCAACAACTGATCAGAGCAAGAAACCAAGTCAGCAAAATCAGAAAAAGTATAACTCAACTAATATGGCATCTCAAGAGACTGGTCCCATGGTAACTCAGGGAAGGCATCCCAGTTCTGACCCTAAGGACGAGATTATCAACTCCTGTGACCATTTGGAGTTATATGGTAGGACTCTTCGCCAGATGAATTTTGGTCCTACTCCTACCTCTTTCGTGTTTGCATCGGGTAACACTGCCACTGCCTTCCATGTGTCATCTCATACCTCTGATTCCCCTTGGGTAATTGACTCCGGAGCCTCAAACCACATGACCGGTAAGTCAAATTTATTTCAGGCATACAATCTTCTCTCTGGGAGAGATAAGGTGAGACTAGCTGATGGTTCTTTCTCCACCATAGCCAACCAAGGAACCATATCTCTCCCACTCGGCCTTACCCTTTATAATGTACTACATATTCCTAAAGTACCTATAAATTTGTTTTCCATTAGTAGTATTACTCACTCCTTTAACTGTTCAGTTACTTTTTTTTGTCTTCATTTGTGTTTCAGGATTTGGCCTCGAGGAAGACGATTGGTAGAGGAAACATGGTGGATGGTCTCTACGTGTTGGAGAATAAAGATGGTCTTGTGGCTACAGAATACTTGAGTTCGTCCAGTGAAAGTCAAGCCTATTTATGGCACAGTCGTCTTGGTCATTTTTCTTTTGAGTCATTAAAAGTTACATTTCCAAAGTTGTTCGAGTCTTTGTCAATGAGTCAGTTGTAGTGTTAGACATGTCAATTGAGTAAACATTGTAGGAGCTATTTTCCTTTGAGAAATAAAAGATCTGAATTGTCGTTTCATATTGTTTATTCTGATGTTCGGGGCCCTGTTACTCTACCCACTGAGGCTGGATATAAGTACTTTATTACCTTGATCGATGATTACTCTAGATACACCTGGGTTTACCCTATGCGATCTAGAGATGAAGTGCCTAAAATTGTGAAAGACTTTCAACGCATGGCATTCACTCAGTTCCAAACTGAAATCCATATTTTCCAGTCGGACAATGCAAAGGAATACTTCCATAGTGAACTCACGGAATTCTTTGCTTCGAGTGGATCGCTTCAACGAAACTCTTGTGCTAGGACAGCCCAACAAAACGGTGTTGCTGAAAGAAAAAACCGTCATCTTCTCGAAATCGCTCGTGGCTTGTTAATCCATATGAATGTTCCGAAACATTTTTGGATGGATGTTGTTCTGTGTGCTACATACATCATCAATCGTATGCCATCTCGGTTACTAGAGTATAAGGCCCCACATCAGCTTTTTTTCCTACAGCTTTGTTGTCCCCCATTCCAATGCGTGTTTTTGGGTGTCGTTGCTTTGTTCATAACTTGTCACCTACTCGGGGTAAACTTGACCCTCATGCTATGATCCCACCTCTCGTAGGTACTATGTCTCAATCGACGTATCCTTCTTTGAGAATCAACCTTCTTAGTTTCTCCTCAGGGGGGGAGTAGGGTTGAGGAGAAACAGGGTCAGACTCAACTACCTCCTCTACCTGACCCTCCTCCATTCCGTGTCTTTCTTTGCCGCCACAAAAGCCAACAAAGTTCAAGAGCCGTGGAACCTAACACTATGCAACCAACATCATCGGCTTCACCGGATGTTGATCCTTCCCATCAATCAAGTACACTTGCTCCTATTAATATGCATGTTCCTCTCAATGTTGATTCCCCTGTCATTAATGATCTTGATGTTCCTATTGCTAAGAGAAAGGATGTTAGATCTTGTACCACTAATCATCCTATCTCTCACTTTGTGTCCTATGACCATATTTCATCTTCATATCGTGCATTCCTCTCCTTTGTTCATAGTATCCCCGTTCCTAAGAATGTGGTGGAAGCTTTATCCAAACCTGAATGGACAGATGCAATGAAGGAAGAGATTGATGCATTATACAAAAGTGGCACTTGAGAGTTGGTGGATCTTCCTAAAGGAAAGGAACTAGTGGGTTGCAAATGGGTGTTCACAGTGAAACACAAGGCTAATGGAATTGTTGAAAGGTGCAAGGCCAGCCTGGTGGCAAAAGGTTTTACACAAGTATATGGAGTGGACTATGCAGAGACTTGCTCTAGTAGCCAAGATGAACTCTATTAGGATTCTCCTTTCATTGGCAGCAAATCTTGATTGAGAACTTCACCAATTGGACATCAAAAATGCTTTCTTGAATGGTGACTTAGAAGAGGAAGTGTACATGACCCAACCTCCAGGTTTTTGTGCCAAAGGCAGTGAATAGAAACTGTGCAGGTTAAAAAAAATCTTTATATGGGCTAAAACAATCTCCTCGGGCCTGCTTTAGTAAGTTCCACTTAGCAGTTCAATAGATGGGGTTCAAACAATGCCAGTTAGACCACACTCTATTTGTGAAGAAAGGTGAAGGGAAAATTGCAGCTCTAATTGTGTATGTGGATGACATAGTGATCACAGGAGATTGGGAAGCTAAAATACAGAGACTAAAAAAGTTCTTAGCCACTCAGTTTGAGGTGAAAGATCTAGGCCCCTTATATTATTTCCTTGGAATTGAAGTTGCCCGCTCTCATAAGGGCATCTTTATTTCCCAACGGAAATATGTACTAGATCTACTAGAAGATACAGGCAAACTAGGGGCGAGACCAATTGACTCACCAATTGAACCTAACCATCAACTGGGAGACAGTTAGGGAGAGTTCTTGAAAGATGTGAAGAAGTTTCAGAGACTTGTAGGGAGACTCTTGTATTTGTCTATGACCAGGCCTGATATTGCTTATGCAATGGGTGTCCTTAGTCAGTTCATGCACAATCCTAGGACAACTCACCTTGAAGTTGCAGAGAGGATCCTCAGATACCTCAAGAAGTTTCCCGGAGCTGGTTTGTTGTTCTAGAAACATGGACATTTAAAGGTGGAATATATACTAATGCTGATTGGGCAGGGGCAATTGATGACCGAAAGTCTACCAGTGGGTATTGTGCCTTTGTAGGGGGAAACCTAGTCACATGGAGAAGTAAGAAGCAAAGTGTGGTGGCTAGATCTAGTGTTGAAGCAGAATACAGAGCTATGTCTCATGGAGTTGCTAAAATCATGTGGATAAGAAATGTGTTAGGTGAACTGGGTTTTGCAGTTAGCAACCGTATGTCACTCTATTGCGACAATAAGGCTACTATCAACATTGCACCTAATCCAGTCCTCCATGATAGGACGAAACACATTGAAGTGGACAAGCATTTTATTAGAGAGAAACTTGTGAATGGAGAAGTGTGCATCCCATATGTCAACTCAGAAGAACTTGTAGACATCTTCACCAAAGGTCGTCATGTGCGGCATAATGATTTGTGTGACAAGTTGGGCATGATTGACATCTATACTCCAACTTGAGGGGGAGTGTTGAAATAATTGATTTTATTTTGTTAGGGTCTGTTTGGTTTATTAAAGCATTTTTATTTTTTCTGTTATTGTACTTTACTTATAGTAGGGGCACAAGGGTCATTTCCCTTCTTATATTTTTCGCCCTATATATTATAATGAAGCTGGCACTGCCAGCATGGTTCCATTGCCTCTAATCCTTCTTTCTTTCTTCTCTCCTCTTCTCTTTTCTTCTCTTCTCTTCTCTTCTCTTCTTCATTCTTCAATCGGATTTATTGTCAAGAAAGTATATTATGCTTGTATCACCTAGCACAACAGATTTTTTTCCCAGTTTGTGGCATGTTGAAGTGGTAGTTTTTTTCTCTTATTTTGCTAAATTTCATGCATTTATGTTAACAGGAACAATAACAAGTCTACACAGTACTACAGAGACTAAATTCAACTTTATAATGTTCTTTCATCAAGCTAAAACCTCATGTTCAGAAGCAGAAATGGTAATAATGAACAAAAGCCAATGAATGAAGAGATACTTTAAACCATAAAGTAAATAACTAAGAAGATGTGATGACACCAAGACTCCAGAGTAACAAGAGATCATTGTTTAGAAAAAGATTAGACACATACCTGCCGTAATCGAGTAAGCAAGTCAAATATGTGAGCATAGTTATTCATCAGGGTTCCAGCTTCAACATATCTGCAAATCGAAAAGGGAAACTGCATGTAAAGCATATCCAGTATTTATCTAAAGCATATAACAAGAAAAAAGAGGCCACACAAATGAACGTTTAGCAAAATATACAAGAAGCAAAGGTAGATGAGGTAGAAGGAAATGAGGAGATTCATGAATACTGGTTTCATTTTGATTGGGATGACTAACTGGGTTACGAATTTTCACTTTTCTAGTTGATATGTGAGGATGGTTCTAAAGTTGAGGTGGCTTTAGTGGTTGTACCTCCTCTGCAAAAATTTTAGTTTTGTAAGAGGTTGCTCTTTTTCTGACTTGACTGATGGATGATCTTTTTGAATGGTGACGTTACTGTAAAAGGTTCTGGCTTGGCAATGTAGTCCTTTTCTCTGTATTGCTACTCTATCAAAGCTGCTTAGCCTTTATTTACCTTTATTCCTTTTTTGGTTTAATATACTTCTTGTTTAGTATCAACTTACATATAGAGATAAATATACATAAACAAACATATGCACCTTAGGCTCAGTTTGGAAAGAGAACAAATACAATTATGTATAGTCTAAATACATACAAAACACAAAGTTTTGCATTCTACATATTTGTATTTGGTACTCCTTCCAAACTGAGCCTTAGTTGCAAGCTTATAAAAGAAAGAGGGACATCTGAAGTGTCTCTAGTTTCTGCATTCTCTTGCCTAAGAAAATAAACAAAAATGAAATAGCAGAGTATATTTACAAGTAAAAGAACACATAACAGAAAATAAGTTTTTCAATTGAATTATAACTGCAATAAACAACAAATCATGAGATTTCAACAGAAAGAATAAGTATAATTTCTAGCAAGGTGTAATTACTAAATATTGAAGTTCTATTTATGTAGAAATTTAATTGAACCTAATAATCATAGTAACAAATATGGGGATTAGTAGTTAGCAGCATATGAACAGGTATTAATTCAATGGAGCACGGATGCACTGCTTCAAATTCCTGGTAGTGAAAGAAGCTTAGGAACATTGACTGTATAGAAAATAAAATATTTATCAATATTTCTAATAAAATCAAGTTCTGACTTATTACCTGCTTACAAATATACTCTATTACATTGGTTCATATACATTTATTTCTATTTTTTATTTTTTAAAATTTCATGATTCTTTCAGACTTTTCATAACCAAAATAGCCCTACAATCTCAACTTCATCTCAATTACAGTGAAGAGCAACTTTACAACCATATCGCAACACAACTCAAATAAACCCTCAGTCAAAAATCAATTGAGTTTTTAAAAATTACCATAAATTGCCAAAGAAATTTTATTTTGTAAAAAAAAAAAAGTTATTGTTTTTGTTGTGGCTCATGTAAAGTAGTTGGTGTAGCAGCAATCAAATAACTTTACCATTTTTCTTCACTCAAATCTGGATCTGGATCTGACGTTGTAGGTTCATATCCATTGTATTTTAGAATCACTAATCCAGCATTTATCTTAAATGAGCAACTGTGGTAGTGGAGCAGTGGTAGCTTTTAGGTTGATCAAAGGGGTGGAGGGAAGAAAATACCAACAATTGATACATATCATCTAAACCCAGAGCTTTCTTTTTCTTCCAGTTTTTCCCTTTTCTCCCATCGAGGGGGTGGAGCACCTACAGATAACTGATTTTGGAATTCAATTGCTCAAGGCTCTTGGTTATTGGGTAACTTTTCTACTAATGTAAATGTCTTGTTTTTGCTGAAAAGATGCTCACAAAGTCTAAGGTCAAGAATAAAAAGGTAATAGAGCTTGCTGTCTGGTCTTTATCTACCATATCTAACATCAAATAGCTGTCCTAGGAATACGTTCATGCACTACCATTTGACCATAGGTTTTTCACTCCTCATGGTATCTGCATAATGGTTGTTTATTTTTTTCTTATCAAGGGTGGACCCAAGATGGGGCTAAGAGGGGCCTGGCCCTCCCAAATGTTTTTGTTCAGCAATCCCCCAAGGAAAATTTCCTGGGTCCACTGTCTCTGGCTCCAAAATAACAATTATGTACTTTAGGAATATCTGATATTCGAAACTATTTACCTTGTCAAGGAATTAAGTGTTTATGGTTTACTTGTCCCTTCCAATGGTATACATAAGTCATAATGTTTCCTACATTATAGTTTGTATTGCATGGACTTTGGGGGAGAGGGAATTTGGCAGTTTCATGCATTCTCCACTGCAACTTATAAAACTGAAAAATAATAAAAGTAAATGCAACCTTTGTAAGTTTCCATATCAAATTTGAGCAGCAATTCAAAACACCCAGCTCAATTCAAGAATAGATGAAGATTTCAGCAGTAGAGAAGAAAAGAGGAGAAAAGAGGAGGAAGTCAATCAGGATTCTTAGATTAACCCTAGCCACCAACCCCTCATTATAATTTATACTAAACTTAAAGGATGAGATATTACAATGATGCCCTTAGTAGGGCGGCTACTAATGTAGCTGAACAGTCACAACTTAAAAACATAAACTAATGGGCCTAAAGCCCAACAACTTCCAAACTAAATAACTTAAAATAAGAATAAAAACAACTAGGCCCAACTCAACA